CGCGGGCGGCGGGCGGGCGCTGGGGACCAGGGACTTGGGGATCCTGGGCGGACGCAGAGGGACTCACAGAGGGTTTGGGCCCCGGGGCGGAGAGGCGGCAGGGGTGGGCAAGCCCTGTGCGTTGGCTTGGAGGGCTACTGTGCAGGAGGATGGGGAGGGACTGGAAGGGCTGCACGAAGGAGACAGGGGACAGGGACGGGAGAGAGCGGTGGGTTGGGGAGAGTGGCACGGAAGCGAGGAGAAACTGGGGTACCAAGGGTCGGCAGACTTGGAAGGACTGTTGGAGGAGGTGAAAGCACTGGCCGGGCGTGAGACACGGGCTGGAATAAACTGCAAGGAGACGGTCCCCAAGAGTGACTAGAACAGTGACTGCAGACAAGGCACAGAGAGAAGCTGGGACCCAGAGAATCTGGAAGGGGGCTTGGGGGGCACTGGGACAGCAGGGAGGGGAGACAGGAGAGGACAGTGGGTTAAAGAATAGGGTGAAATGGGGATGGGGCCAGATAGAAGGGACTGGGGAAAACAGAGTTGCCTGGGGGTGGGGGACTTAGAAAGTGGATGCAGGCATGGAGTGAAGCAGGGGTCAGGAAAGGGGACTTGGGCTCTGCAGCAGCGCAGAGGTGACATCTGGACAGATGGACTGGACGATTTTGAGAGAACTCAGGAAGATGGTATCCAACTGGTGCTCAGCCTGGCCCTTTCCTTCTAAGCAGGAGTCAGCGCTGAAGGCCCTGGGGACAGAAGGCCTCTTCCTCTTCTCTTCCTTGGACACAGACCGGGATATGTACATCAGCCCTGAGGAGTTCAGGCCCATCTCTGAGAAGCTGACAGGTACCAGGAGAGGCTGGGGACTGGGGAGGAGGGAGCCCAGGCACCGCCCTCAGCTTCTTGGCAGCTGTGTCTACTCCCAGCAGGAGAGGCACCTGCAGTAGAAGGAAGATTGTGGGTCCTGGCAGCTCTGGGATCCTCCTAGCTCTGGCACCTCTAGCTGCTGGTTTGGATAAGCTATTTCAGCACATGCACACACATATTCACACACATGTGCGTCTTCTCTTCACATGTGAATAATACTAACATTTCCTCAGGGCCGGACATGACTTTAAGCACTTCACATGAGTTATCTCTTTAATCTTCACAGTGCCCTGTTTGATGGACACTGTCATGATCCTCATGCTTATGGTTTGGGAGACTGAGGCCCCGGAAGGCTCAGTGCTTCGCCCAGGCTAGAAAGGTGCAGAGCCAGGATTAGAACCAGGGCCATCTGTCTCCAGGTCCCACCCCAGCTCACAGGCTTGAGGATGAGAGAGAATATCTGCAAAGGAGTGGATAGGCAGTAGACAGTCAATAGATAGGAGCTATTCCAATTATTACTAAACATTAAACTTGCTTAGGTGCTGTCAGATTCCTATCCCATCCTTGCTATCCATTTTTGCCTAGCTGTACTCAGTGATGGTTGTTTTTGTTTTTGTTTTTATAAGGATAAAGGCCTGAACAGCTAATGAATTATAAAATGCTTCTCTTACCACCTTACCGCCACCCCAACCTCTGTGTCCATTTCTTGTGACATTTCTTGAACTTAGGATCTTGGGCACCTACTTGTTACCCAAGTTGCCCAGTGTGAGTAGGTCAGTTGATGGGAAAGGCAAGAAGAGATGCCAGCTGCTCTCAGGTGAGTAAGCACCAAAGCCCTGTGATGGGTTTTCTGGGTCTCAGGATGGGTTAGGCAGGCCTATCACTTGCTGGCCTGGTGACCTATGGTCACTGCTAGAAGAGGAAAGTCAGATGGAAAAATAGTAATTTGCTGGAGCAGGTATGTGTCAGTATCTCAGTGGCTGTCAGTTCTGTCATGAAAGCAGACAGGTAGGTCAGCAGGTCAGCCCCATGTGGATTGACTCTGATCTCTTAATTTGCCCACTCTTTCAAGCATCCACATAGCCACCTCCTTGTCCTTTTTTTATGGCCATTGAACAAGAGTTCCCTCATAATGACATGTTGGCCAAGCTTGCTGGGCTTGGGAGCACTTTTAATTTTTTTCATATAAATCTTTTTCTCCATCAGTGGAAAATAACCCTTCCTCCATTACCTCCAAGGGCAAAACTGGACCAAGTTTTGGGAAAACAAAATAAAAAACAAAACCAAAAACACCAAATCTAAGCAGCAAATAGAAGCAAATAGTCTGTCTAGCTGGTATAGTTGTGAGTGTTTAATTTTCTGCTTTATACCTTAAAAGTTTTACAAATTATGTATAATGAGCAAGTGCTACTTATAAGTCAGGAAATAAAACTTTTTATTAAACCAAAAGACCATAAAATGCTGGGCATCATTATTATTAATAATTATTTGTGACAACAGTAAAATAATTGAGTGAGCAAGCAGACTAATAACCTTGCACATACCTACTACACCCTTCCTCTGAGGTTTGCAGATTACAGATTTAGAAAGATTTGTTGCATTGACTTACAAATGCAGAAATAACTAATTCTTTAGAACAGGGATTTGCATCAGGAGTCATGGGAGTGCTCATTAAAAGGACGGTTTCCTAATTCTAGCTCCTTAAGATTCTGACTCAGTAGGTCTAAGGTGGGTTCTGGAATCTGTAGTTTAAAAAGACATCCTGAGTGATTCTGACGATCCTGATTAAGAACTGCTTCAAATATACCCATTCAATCTGTCAGTCAGTCTGTCCACAAATGCCAAACATGCTCTCTACAACAAACCTGCTCTGAGAGAGCAGACATGACGAGAGCCACCCCTCCTTTATTCCATTATCCGTGTATCTGGGGCCCCATCCTTCTAGTAGTCACCCCTTTTGAAATAGGCTTCATGTCTCCCTTAAACTTTCATCTTGACTCCCTGCACACTTGAAAGTTACAGACTTGGCAGGTCTCTAAGCAGGAAGAGGTCTGAAGAATCAAGGTCAGCCACTGCCGTTGCAGCCTTCCTTATACAGATGGGGAAACGGGACCACCCAGAAAATCAGGGAGAAGTGAGTCTCCTCACTCCAAAACCAGTGCTCTTTCTGTGACACCAGAGATGACCTGATTCTGTTTCTTGCTTTCATTCATTGCTCTGAGTCCTGGGACTGAGTGCCTCTCAGGGCACTGTTTATTTCTTCGTAAGACCCCATGACAGGGACATGCATGGTCTTCATTTCTCATGTAGGAAAACCAGAGAGACTCAGTGACTTGCTTCAAATGGTCCAGGAAATGGAACTGACCTTAACTTGGACCTGGGCTGATGATGCCCAGCCTGGTACATTCGCCTCTCCCAGCCCCAGAAAGTAGCTTCTCTCTGGTGCTAGGGATCCCAGCTGGGAGAAGCAGCTGCCTGCCCACATGCCACCTTTGGTGGGCCCAGCACTGAGTTCATCTGGGACTTGGTTTGGAGGACAAAAGGTAGGACAAAGTGAGAATGGCCTGGTAGAAAGAACACAGGTTAGAGTCGGGAGAATTAGCTTTGAGCCCCAGCTCCCTGGCTCCCTGACTCTGACACCCCCGGTAAAGTAGCACAGCTAAAGTTTATTATGGGTTTACTCTACCAGGCTTGATGCGAACACTACGTGGATTATCTTATTTAATCCTCATAACAGCCACTGTCCAGCCATCACACAGCTGGTGAAGGGTGGGGCTGGGACTTGAACCCAAGTCATCTGGTTCTTGAGCGTTTGAAGAAACTGAGGCTCTGAGATCTTAACTCCCCCAGAATGGGGTTGTGGTTAATCATGGGTTTAGAGTAAAACAGGCCTGAGTTTGAATCCTGACTCCCCCACTACCTAGTTGTGTGACCTTGGGGAAATGATTTTACCTCTCTGAGCCTCTACTTTCTCATTTATAAAACAGGAATTGCTAATAATGTAGCCTCTCACAGGGCTACTATGACACTAAAATACATATCATTTGTTACTTTGGTCATTGTTGACTGTTCCCCCCAGCTCCCGATGGCTTCCTTAGTCACCAGCCAGTGTAGATGCCTAAGGGAAGGGCCCCTCTCCAGTGACCTGTGTCTCGTAGGGTCAACTCCTACGGCCAGCTACGAGGAGGAGGAACTGCCCCCTGACCCCAGCGAGGAGACGCTCACCATAGAAGCCCGATTCCAGCCTCTGCTCCCGGAGTCTATGACCAAGAGCAAAGACGGGTTCCTAGGGGTGAGTTGCGGGGGCTGGGCAGGGGGCAAGGGGGCCCCCACGGGGGGACTACAGACAGGAAAATCATTTGTGTGAACTTGCCTCCTGAGAATGGGGCTATGTTCATCTTACCTCCTTTCTTTCCTTCTTTCTGTCCTTATCAGCTGCTCTCTATGCGCCCAATGTGCCAGGCCTTAGGGACCCAGAAGTGAGCATGATGCCATCCCTGCTGTCCAGGCACAGTCTGGTGGGAGAGGCAGGAGGGATAAGCATGAGCCTCTGAGCCAGATGGGAGATCTAGGATGGCTTCCTGGAGGAGTGACATCTGTCAGTAAGAGGGCTCAGCCAGGCGCCCGCGGGGGTAGGAAGGCTCCAGTGTACTAGGTTGTGTTGATGCAGCCTCCTCACTTTAATCATTACTCTCTGTAGGTCAGTCTTTCCCCCACCCAGGCTGTGAGTTTGTTGAGGACCAGGCCTGTGTCCCCCACATTTGTGCATCCCCAGGCCCCTAGCACGATGTCCAGCGCCTGACAAGTACTCTGCTGAACTGATGAGCCACATTTGAGGTTCTGCCCCTGACGGTGGGTCGTGGGGTGGGGACGGCACCTGGCAAATGCTGTGCTAGCCGGCCGCGCCCCGACCCGAGGCTCCGTGGACAAGGTCTCAAGCCCATCCCGGGCCCTAGGCATCCCCAGACCCTACCTGCCTCTCCCACCCTCTCTCCTGCCCTCCCTTCTCCACTTTCTTCCTTCCAACCACTCCAGACGTCCAGGCTTCCTTCCAACTGCAAGCCTTCTCTCTGCTGTTTCCTCAGCCAGGAGCAACTTTTTCTCCATGCCCAGCCCACACCTACTCAGCACTTACATCTCAGCTGAGGTGTTACTTCGGCATGAACACAGGCCTGAAGGCAGAAAGTGCCAGGTCATTCAACTGAGGGCAAGGAGCGGGTGTGGCTGGACCCAGAGCATGCGGGACACATGCAGAGGCATCCTGGTCAGTGGGGCTGAAAGAGAAGTTGCCAGACCTCGACGGGCCTCTGTTGCCTGACTTTGGCCTTCATTCTTTAGCAGCGAAACACCATAGCAGATTTTGAAATAGAAGAATTGGTTCCCTCATCAAATGTGTGCTTTCCAGGCTGGCAGCTAAAGTGAAACGGGAGACAGGAAGACCATTTCCTGGGAGGGAGGAGAAGGCAGGCCAGGGAAGAAGTGGTGATGGAGGAAGGCCAGCCTGCAGGATCCGCCAGCAAAGGAGGAAAGGCAGGGCGTGGCTACTAACGGAAAGTGTGTGTTCGGAGGGAGGTCGGGTGACTCAGGCTTCTCATCCGCCAGCAAAGGAGGAAAGGCAGGGCGTGGCTAACGGAAAGTGTGTGTTCGGAGGGAAGTCGGGTGACTCAGGCTTCTGGCTGGCGACCTGGTGTATGGTGACCGTCTGCTTCGGTGGGGGACTGGAGGAAGGAAGCAGATCAGGTCGGGACGGATGAGGTCAGATCAGACATGTCGAAGTTGAGGTGCCTGGGGGATGTGAGGAGGAGAGTCCAACAAGTAGTCCGAAATACAGATTTGACCTTTCATGGAAAGCTCTGGATGGGGCTTGGTTTGGTGGCGATGGGGGACGGGGGAGCAGATTGAAGCTGTTTCAGCAGATGAGTGCCCTGCAGAGCACCTGTACTTAACAGGGGAGGTGGGTCAGGAGCAGCACCCCCAGCCTAGCCTCCCTAGCAGGGTCCCTCCAGAGCCCAGCCCCGCTCAGCAGGCGGCTCCCCTACAGGGGCTCACCAGCCTGTGAGCAGGACCCAGCGGGTGGGCAAGCTCTGCCGGGCCCTGCACAGCCAGCCCTGCTTTGGGAACCTGCCTGTTCAATCCCCCTCAGTGGGTGCTCCCTGCACCCCTCTCCTCCCACCTCCACTTCTCACCAAGCCTAGGCCCCCTCTGCCATGGGGGTGGGGAAGGGAGAGGGGACCCACTGTTGTCAAAGACAGGGGCCGCTCCCTGGTGGCTGAGCACCCCCGAGGGGTGCCAGGCACTCGCGGTCCCGGTGGCTGATGCCTCAGCAGGACACAGCTCCTACATGTAGCCCAGAAGGACAGGGAGGAGCTGACAGTGGAGGGTCCACCGGGGACCTGCATGCTCCGGGGTCTCACCTTTGCTCAAGCAGGAGTGCAGACAGGCCTGCACGGTCTCTGACCCTCATTCTCTCCTCTCCATCAGCGCATCACACAGAAGGGAGGCGGGTTCCTCGTGAGGAAATGGCTCAGGGCAGGCTGTTTGCCCAGGTGCCCAGCCAGTGTGGCACAGGGCACACTCTGGGGAGAAAGAAGTTCCACTTGTTTGTGGTCTCATCCTGCTCTTAACCTTCGAGATTTCACGCAAAAGGGAGTTACTACTTCCCTCCTCAGACTTAACTCCAAACCCAAACTCTGACCGTATCAGTGAGACATTAGCCTCCTCAAAGAAGAGGCTTAGAAAAGCGATTGGGGAGCAGAAAGCAAGGTGGGTAGAGGGGACGAGGAAGGCTCCCAGTCCTGGATGGCTCTCCAGCTCCCTCAGCGCCCCTGCCCTCAAGCAAGTTGCTCTGCTCTGGGCTGGGCCTAGTGGGCTGCAGGGCATTGCTTCTTGGGCTGGGGGCCAACGAGGGTGAAATGAGGCTTGGCTGTGGCGGGACAGTGCCAGGTCCGAGGCTGTTACCAGGGCAGGAGCCTCCCCTGGGTTCTTCTGCTCCCTCAGCTTATGGACTGGCTCAGGACTCGAGGGGCTACTCCACCCACACATGGGACAGGGAGCCCCAAAGTCATGGTTCTTGGTGCCCCAGAGCTTCGGCCTTCCCCTGTCCCAGGTCTCCCGCCTGGCCCTGTCCGGCCTCCGCAACTGGATGACCGCAGCCTCGCCAAGTGCCGTGTTTGCTGCCCGCCACTTCCGGCCCTTCCTTCCCCCTCGGGGTCAGGTGGAGCTGGGCGAGCCCTGGTGGATCATCCCCAGTGAGCTGAGTGTCTTCACTGGCTATCTGTCCAACAACCGCTTCTACCCACCACCGCCCAAGGGCAAGGAGGTGAGGACAGCTCACAGTGAACTCCTGGGCCCTGCACCCCAGCCCAGGCACAGCCCCTCCCCGTCTGCCCCTGGACCTCTGTGCTACCCCACCTTCACTCCACCTCCCTCTGGACCCACCTCCACCCTGGCCCCTAGACCCTCACCTAGGGAGTCGAGGCCCAGCAGGGCCCAGCCAGCCAGCCTGGGGTCCCACTGCCACCCCCCAGGTCATCATCCACCAGCTCCTGAGCATGTTCCACCCGCGACCCTTCGTGAAGACCCGCTTTGCCCCTCAAGGGGCAGTCGCCTGCCTGACTGCCATCAGCGACTTCTACTACACTGTGATGTTCCGGTGAGTGGCCTCATCCTTGACTCCAAAGCACCACACAGTTCAAAGCCCCCGCTCCACCACTTATCACTGTGGGGTTTGGGGCAAGCAGCTGTGGCTCTCTGAGCCTCAAATTCCTCATGTGTGGATCAGGGTGGTGATAACTTCCTCGTGAGAGGAAGAGAAAAGGCACAGAGCATGCTTAGCACAGGGCTGGTGGCTGTGATTGTCATCCACACAGAAAAGGGGTATAGAAAGCTGTGACACCAGGTCACAATGCACCCTTGAGAAGCCGTGAGAGCTCAGAGGAGTCAGACAAGACTTCTGGAGATGACAGCACGTGAACTTGGACCTGAGGATGGGCAGCGCTTGGAGGGCCTCTTGCCGTCTCCCCGCCCTACACTCACGTTACTCCCGGCCAGCCCTCTCCCCCACACAGTCTGGCCAGGGATTCTCAGGCTTTGGGGCCGAGTCAGAGGTTGGGCTCTGGCTCAGCAGGGGCTGCTCCGAGCTTGCTCCTTCCCCCCAGAATCCACGCCGAGTTCCAGCTCAGCGAGCCACCCGACTTTCCCTTCTGGTTCTCGCCTGGCCAGTTCACCGGCCACATCATCCTCTCCAAAGATGCGACCCACGTCCGTGACTTCCGGCTTTTCGTGCCCAACCACAGGTAGGAGCCTTGGCCTAGCCCATCCCTCAGCTCCAGGGTCAGAAGCAGGGACCCAGAGGGCCCCTCAGCCTCTGCCCCTCCTTTGTTCCTCTCTTGGGAGAGGCCTGGACTCCCTCTTGGGAGGGACCTGGAGCTGACCCTGAAAGAAGTAGCTTAAAGAAGGTTGAAGAGGGTCATTCTATCATCCGACAAGCATGTCCCAGGTGCCGCATGGCCTGGCCCACCAACACCGTGCCCTGAACCAAATGCAGAGGCAACAGACCCTTCCAGAAGCTGGAGCCTCCCCACCCTCATGTTGACCGACAGACTCTGACAGACCCATAACCACAGCCTGCTAGTGCCACCCTAGGGGGAGGCCAGTAGGTGGGCAGGGACCTGGCTGCTTGGGGTCTAGAAAGGCTTCTCAGGGGAAGGGACAGTTAAGTAGATGTCCCTTCTGGGGGTGAGGAATGTTTAGCCAGGCAGAGGGAACAGCACATGCAAAGGCCTGAGGGCAGGCCCTCCACTGCCTGCAGCTGCTACCTTAGGGGGCTTAAGGGACAATTCAGTGCCAGCCTGCCTTATGAGGGGACCTGGAAACCCGGGCTTCAGGTCTTTCCAGACTGCCCCTTAGCAACTCTGTACAGGGATAAGACTTGGGCTGGGAGCCTAGAGGCCCATAATTAAGTTGGCTGTGGGACCAGGGGTCTGCATGTTCCTGGCCTTCTCTGAGCCTCAGTTTCCTCATTTGCTACATGGGAGGCTGGCTCCTGGGCAGCAGCGAGGGGATGGCTGGCATATCCTGGGAAGAGGAAGTTGCCCCCAGAAACAGGAGTGGCTTCCTCTTCCTCTCCTCCCTCACCAAATAAGCACCTGAGCTCCTCTGGCTCAGCCCAGGTTCCATCTGCCTTCACCCCAGGGTTGGTCATGAGGGCGGGGTGGGGAGTGCGGCCCTGGACTGGATGAAACAGAGGAGAGGTACAAATGACCAGCCCCAAGACAGGCCACAGGGACTGCTGACTCGCTCTGTGGGCTCCCCACTCAAGCTACCCATGATGGTTGATCGTCAGTCCTGGGGTGCCCCCATGTGGCAGATCTGCAGATGGCACCTGGTCAGGCCAGACTCCCTGCTAGAGGACAGTGCCAGGTTTTCACTCCTGCTCCACTCTGTGTCCTGGGGAAGGCCTGCATGATCTCTGCCTGGAAGGGTCAAGGGCAGTAGAACAAGGTGGATGTGAAAGCCCTTTGTGAACTGTAAAGGCTGGGCCAGTAGAGGGTGATATGGTTTCAGTGCCTTAGGAAGAGCTGCCCGGGGAGAGGAAAGGGCCCCGGCTCTGCAGTCAGAGTCCCAGCAGCTCTGAGACCTTGGGTTCAACTTGCCAAGCCTCAGTGTCCTCATCTGTAAAATGGAGACAGTTGTGCACTTTCAGTGAGATAATATCTGACGTATGGTTCATGGACCTTGAGGATGGTGGTGGTCTGCCCTGGCAGCTCTCTCACTCATCCCCAGGTCTCTGAATGTGGACATGGAGTGGCTGTATGGGGCCAGTGAGAGCAGCAACATGGAAGTGGACATCGGCTACATACCCCAGGTGAGAGCACGATGATCCGCCTCTGCAATGCGTGAGGGATCTGTGAGGGTCTCTCAGGGCCCCTTCAGGATCCTTGCCCATCTCTGAGACATCCCTTACTGATGTCATCCTTCGCTGACCTCCGGCTCAGATGGAGCTGGAGGCCACAGGCCCCTCAATACCCTCCGTGATCCTGGACGAAGATGGCAACATGATCAACAGCCGGCTGCCCTCGGGGGAGCCCCTCCAGTTTGTGTTTGAGGAAATCAAGTGGCAGCAGGAGCTGAGCTGGGAGGAGGCCGCCCGGCGCCTGGAGGTGGCCATGTACCCCTTCAAGAAGGTGAGGCTGGGCACGAAGGCCAGGGTCAGGCTCCATGGGGTTGGAGCTGTGGGAGCAGCAGATGAGCACAGGGCTGTGGGCTGTGTGCAGAGCTTGCTGCAGGGCCCAGTGGTGCCAGGGGAACCTCTCCTTTGCCATCCAGAACTTGGACGAGGCATCCCTCATTTCAGCAGCGCCCCTTCTCACACACACACAACCCCCAACACACGTGCATACACACACCATATATACTACACACAGACCACACATGCACGTACACATTACACACTCAGCCTCTGAATGGGACCCTGGCTGCACACAGTAGCTTCTTTCTGTCTCGGCTTGGCCCCAGGTCACCTACCTGCCATTCACCGAGGCCTTCGACCAAGCCAAGGCCAAGAACAAGCTGGTGCACTCGATCCTGCTGTGGGGGGCCCTGGACGACCAGTCCTGCTGAGGTGAGGGAAACCTGGCCAGTCCAAGGAGAGAATGGGAGGGGAGACTTCACACCCTCTGGGTATAGGAGGTTCTGAGAGCAACAGGCTTCTGCTGTTGGAGCATGAAAGACTTGGGGACCACACAGGGCAGGTGCGTGGGCTGAGGGCTTGGGGGAGGTTTCTGTGCCGAACTCAGAGGAAACTATTGGACACAGTAGAAAGATTCCCCAGCTCAGTCATTTTCAGCTTGGAAACTGGCCAAGTGACTTCCCCTCCCTGAGCCTCAGTTTCTCAATAGTGAAGGACAGGTAACATACTTGCTTCCCAGAGTTGTAAAGATGGATGTGAAAGTGCCTGTGCTCTGTACGGTGTGGCACACAACTGAGAGAAAATAGTGCCACAGGCTGGGCATTCATTCACTTATTCAGGAGACCTGCTAGGTGCAAAGTGCTTTGGTTGTTCGGCAGTCGGTACAAAGATGAGGAAAACAATGAGCCTATCCTCATCCAGTTAAACAGCAAACATCCTGGGCACCTTCTGTGCCAAGCCATAGGCTCATTGCTAGGAGTCTTGCAATGAGGAAGTCAGAAGTGGCCCCTGTCCCTAGGGAGCGCATCTGCTGCAGAAGGCAGATGTTGAATGAATAAGTACAAGCGTGGTAAGTGTTACACAAAAGAAGGACCGGTGACACTAGAGTGTGGGAGTCAGGGACAGTTTCTTAGAGAAACTGATGTTTAAGCTGTGACTTTGGAGGATGAGTAGGAGTTTGCCAAATGACAGAAGGAAGAGTATTTTAGATCGAACAGTCTTGCAAAGGCCCCAGGAGCCAGAGTTTAGTGGATTTAAGACTGAAAGTCCCTGAGCGGGGTAGGGCTCCACCCTATATCTCAGCCCAGGATGTTATTGATGTAAATTACAGCTACCATTTATTCATCATCTGCTCTGTGGCAGGCTCTTTGCTTCTGTTATTTCACCTTGGTGCAGGGATCATTCTACAGCCCATGAGGTTTATTGCTGATGGAAACCCAGTAAGACATGTGGGGTGTCTCACTCTTCTGGCCTTGCCTCTCCCTGAACAGGTTCAGGGCGGACTCTCCGGGAGACTGTCCTGGAAAGTTCGCCCATCCTCACCCTCCTCAATGAGAGCTTCATTAGCACCTGGTCCCTGGTGAAGGAGCTGGAGGACCTGCAAGTGAGTGCAGAGTGGGTGGGAACAGCCCCTGGGACGATACTGGGGGCCGAGGCATTAGGACTGTGCCCAACTGTCCCCATAGAGCAACCAGGAGAACCCATCCCACAAGAAGCTGGCTGACCTGCACCTGGAGAAGTACAGCTTCCCCGTGGAGATGATGATCTGCTTGCCCAATGGCACTGTGGTAGGACAGCCCCACCGCCTGTACCTAGCCTGCGGCCAGGCACTGTGGGGCAGAGGAAGCAACTAGCCAGGGGCATAGACTCACAGACCTTATCATGCCTCAGGTTTGGCTCCACCACTTCCTGGCTGGTGTCTTAACCAATCTGAGCCTCAGTTATCCAATCCATGAAGTAGGAAACCTGTTGCCTACTCTGCCTGTCTCACGCGGGTGTCAGGAGGCTCCCATGGGAAGGGGGACCTCAACAGCACTTTGGGGACCAGGTAGCAGCAGCGTGGGCACAGTGTAGCAGCAGAGTAGACAGGAACATGGCCTGGAAGGGAAGGCTAACCTTGGACCATTGTGGCCAGCCCTGGAATGGAAGGAGGAAGGTGGAGGGATCAGGCCTTGTGACAGGCAGAGAGGACCAGGCGATGCCCCAGGCTGAGCCAAGCTTCAAGACCCTACTTCTCCCTCAGGGCCCCTTACAAGCACTCATGCATGCCCTCAAATTGGATTCTCAAAGCCCACTTTACAAACAAGGAAACTGAGGCTCGAAAGGTCCAGAAACCTGGCAAAAGTGCACAAGTGAAGTGTAGCTGGCTTTGAAACCAGGCCTACCTGTGAGCCTCAGAATCTCCTCTTTCGACAGGAGATGGGGAGTCCAGGGGTCACGGGAGCAGAGGAGAAGAGGGGTCCTAGCGTGGGGCTGAGGGAAAGGCGGTATTGAAAGACATGAGGTTTTCACCTAGTGGACGAGGTGTGGAGGCTCTGTGGTCAGAGGGCCCTGTGTGAGCAGAGGCAGGAGAGGCAGGAACCGGGGTCGGGTTCTGGCCAGTGCTCATAAGTGCCCTGCCTATCCGCTGTCTGCCCCAAAGCGAGGATAGTAGAGGCCTAAGAGCAGCTGCCTCTCCCAAGGACACTTGAGCAGACAGGGAGCAGAGGGGCGCTGCGCCTGGGTGGGTCCCCGCCCCCCTCACCCAGTCACCCAGTCGCTCTCCCAGGTCCACCACATCAACGCCAACTACTTCTTGGACATCACCTCCATGAAGCCTGAGGACATCGAGAACAATGTCTTCAGCTTCTCATCTACCTTTGAAGACCCGTCCACGGCCACCTACATGCAGTTCCTGAAGGAGGGCCTTCGACGTGGCCTGCCCCTCCTCCAGCCCTAGCATGCCTGCCTCACCTAGGCAGGGAGAAGCCAGGCTGAGGGGGTGCTGGATAGAAAGGCTTCCAATGCTGACAGACAGGCCTCTCAGCCCCAGAGCGGTCAAACATCACACACTCCCACCCCACTACTCCCAAGTTGCCTGTGAGGTCGGAGGTCAACTAAGGGTGGCCATCCTAGTTTTGCCTGTATTAAGGGGTTGACAAGGATGAGCTGACTGGATGGGCGAACCTGTAGCTCCAGCTGCCACCATCAGCCTTTCACTACCTACATGGCTCCAGAAGCTGCTTGGGCCCCCCTGAAACAAAGCCTGGGGTCATTTCCCTGGACCTCACCCTCTCAGGCACATAGTCCAGGCCCTTGCTGGGTGAAGAATAGGGAGGAGTGGGTGCTAGGAAAACAGTGTCACCTCTTTCTCCTTACTTTCACTCCCTCCCGAAAGGAACATCAAGAAGCTCCAGCATGGGTAGGGGGCAGGAGGTACGAGAGAGGTACTCTTGTTTTTCTGGAGCCTTCTTCCTGGCTCCAGCCCTGGCTGCCCTCCTCTGTCAGGTGTCCTCAGTGGGATCAGTCTCAGCTAGAGACAGCCACCTGGAGGTTCTGGGCAGAATCGTCCTTCGGAAGGAAAAATCATGTGGTCTCCCAGACCTGGCTCCCCGGACCAGTCCATCTAACCTAACGATAGGACACCAGAACCTGTTTTGGGACTTGCTGGAGGCCAGATGTCCAGGACGGTTTACTGCAGAAGGCTTCTGCCCTTAGCAAGGGGGTCCCTGAGGCCTGAGGCCTAGGCCCTAGGCACTGCCAGTGCCCACCCCAGCACAGCATCATAGTAGGACTGCTGGAGCAAGAGCCCTGGTGTCACCTCCTGCCCCTAAGACTTGAGCTCCTCGGATGTGTAGCCCAGCTGAAGAACACAGCCTCCCTTAGAGCCAGCGCTGTCCCGGCTGTCATGACAGCCCAGACCAGCTTGTCCACCACTGGGTGGCCATTGACCCTCTTTGACCACTCTTTGGGCCTTGGTCCACATCCCAAGCCACTGACCGCAGTCAGTCTCTTTTTTATACATGCAGAAAAGTGTTTTTATGTGAACTTTCTCACAGTTTGTAGGTATTTTTGATAACTCCAGTGTTGAGAAGGAGGAAGAGACCATGGCTTCCTTCAGCAGCTGCCCCATGATGGCTAGATCTGAAATCCTAGATGGATCCAGCTTGATGTCTTTGCAGTTGCACCTATGGGAAGAAATATTCCTCTCTTCCTTCTCCTAGCTTTTTAAAAATAGTCCTCAGAGGGTCAGTGTACTCCAACCCCATCCTTGTCCTCTACTCAGGCCCATAAGGGGCCCTAAGGCTTTCGTTAAGGTCTTTGGTGCCAAGCCTGCTCCCCTGCCCCTGCCCCAGAGGGACTCACTCTTAAACCTGGATGAGGAAGGAAGGCAGACATCTCCTCAGACACATTCTCAGGCCCCCCATCTGTTGAGCCCCCCTGCCTACCATTGGAGTATCCACCCTAAGCTTTCTCTGTCTGAGGCACTTTCTTAAGATTACATGTATTTTCTCATTTAATCCTCACAACAAACCTGTGGGGTGGATATTAACTGTTCGCATTTTACAGATGAAGAAACTGAGTCTTGGGGAAATGAAGTGACCTGCCCAAGTTCTCTCAGTGGTAGAGTTGAAATTCATCCTGAGTTGATTGTGTGGTATTTTGTTTTGCACTGCACCCCCAAATCTCTCCCCTGCCTGTTTTTACTGAGATGAAAAAGAAAGCCTTTCAAACCAAAATGTCTCATTCCCCTCTGATCTCCATCCCTAATGAGGCATGAGCTAGCAAGCTCAGCCAAGTTCTTCATGTCCTTATGGGAGGCAATGCTTCCATGCCCTTTATAGAGAGAGGGGGTCCCCAAGTCTATATCAGTGTTTCTAGGTGTGGGTAGCAGTAAAGCACTGTTGCTGGGGCTTTCTGCATCCTCATCAGATGCCTCTGCCTGACCCACATGTGCCTCAAAGCTCATGGTGGCCCCCAGCTGCCCTTGCCACTCCTCTGCCATTTCCCTCACTTGTCCCTAACATGTCCTGTAATAAAATTGGAGAAACTAGGGTGGTTCTAAGTGCCTTTCCTTTGAATGGGATGTTCTGTTCTGTCCTTGATCTGACTGTAGGATTAGTTTGCCAGATGGGCAATGGAGCAAGATTGGAATGCCTTGGGGACTCTCTCATCTGTCACCAGAGGGCTTGAGTGACTTAAAATAAGTTTATAATAGACCTAGTAGTACAACTTACTTCTTTTAGAATCTGATGCTCTGTTATAAAGATCCTTAAGTTAAATCCATTGTCTTAGAAGCAGAGCTTGAGATAGGCATTAGGTAATTTTTCCTGAAAGGAGTAACACTTCAGGAAAAACCTATAAAAGGAGTGAAAGGGAAAGGGAAAACGATGAGCAGGGATAGAGTCTCAAAGACTAGCCTTGGCGGGATCACAGGAGAAGGGCTCTGGGCCATTAACCACACGGCCAAGTTGAACCAGCCTTTTGTAACCTGTTATCTATCAGTCCCTGGCTTAGCGAGTGGAGTTACTTCCCCCGGCTTGACCTGGAAGTCAATCTTCACCATTTGAAATATGGTGGGGGTCAGGGTGGACAACCTCTGAGGTCTCTAGCCAGAACCAGCTACATAATTTGCAGGATGTAGTGCAAAATGAAAAAGGACCCCTTTTGAAAAAAAAGTTATGAATTTCAAGAGGACAACAGCAGAACATTAAAGCAAGCAGAGTTCTGACCATGAGGCTCAGTGTACAGGACTTTGACAGCTGGGACTTACAGACTTTGAGACCAAAGAACTGCAGTCTGGGAGCCAGGTACAGACACAAGCTGAGATCACAGGAGGGCATGTGACCCAGGCATGAATGCCATGGAGACCAGGATCTGGAGGGTTTCAGCAGAAGAGGGAGTGGATGAGTGAGCCTGGAAGGAATGTAGGTCTCTTTCTCAATGCCTCTGCGGTCTTCCCATCAACCTACTCTAGCCATCTGATCAACCAACTCACTGAAAATACTCTGAGTGTGTGAAATAACATCAAGGCTAAAATAGAAGATACACAGCGCAGGAGGGCAGGAGGCAGAAAAGAGGCCCATTCTTGCCGGAGAGAAGGCTGTCAGAGGGTCTTGGCTGGTAAGTATGAACTGCGAAGGGGACCAGGACGAAATGCAAGGCAAGCTCTTCCACCAGAGGACCTGGAACGCCAGGGTGAGGATTCTCAAGTTTACAGGCGGATGAGGACAACAGACACCACATAATTTGGGGTCTGAGCAGCGACGTAGTCAGACCTCGGCTTCCAAAGGTTGAATCGGAACTAAGAGCAGCAGAGACACGGAGACCAGCGGGTTAAGCGACCAGTCAGGACTTCGCTATCTTCAAGCTCAGCCAATTTTTCCCCCAGGACTCAGAGAGGAGGAAGTGTGGTTTCGGGGATGGGTGTGTCCCTCCCCCGGGGTCCGCACTTGCGGCCGCCCAGCGCCCCGCCCCGCCCGATTGGGGCCCGCGTTCCGAGGGCGTGCGGGGCGGGGCGGGGCGGGGGCTCGGTGCGCAGCTGCATAAATCGCTTCCGGGGCGGGCCAGAGGAAGTGAGGGCAGTTGAGGCTGGGCGGCCCGCTGTAGTAGGAGGGGCCGTGAGGTGAGTGAGTCCCGGAGCCCGAGGCTGAGGTGAGACTAGGTCTGAGTGCAACCTGGGAGGAGGGCGTAAGCTTTCCTGGTCGTCCGTCGGCGCAGCTTAGTGCCAAGCGCTGTGCAGAGCCCGCGGCTCCTGTTCCCGCGCCACTTCTCGCGGGAGCCGGTGTTCGCCTCATTTGGCCGGAGGGGAAACTGAGTCCCCTAGGGGTAGTTGCTCGCCAGTGTCACCCAGTTTCGGTGGCCGAGCTACAGTGGAGGCTTCTCGTTTCGGCCGCGCACCTCAGTGAGCCGGGTAGCCTCTGCCGTGTCTCCCCCTCCTTCTGGGGCCCGGCGCCGGGCCTGTGTGTCCAAGCACCGCCTGGGCCAGCAGCGAGAACTTGGCCGACCTTGCCCCTGTCGGGTCGAGCTGTTGCAGGGGAGGGGAGACGTATCCCAGGCAAGGTCCCCGCAGCGGTTCCCTCGGCGCAGCTGTCCGTTCTGCAAAGTTCCACTGAGCTCGGCGGCCTCCGTGGGCCGCCTGGGACCCAGGGGCGATAAGACCCGGCCCTGTCCTGGAGGAGCTCCCGGTCCCCTGCGGGAGACCGTGCATAAACATGACAACGGCCTCTCGAGGGGCCATGGGAGTGCAGAGGTGGTAAGAACCAACTAGCGTTGCGAGCGATCTGGGGCAAGATTCTTCTAGCCAGTGACAAGGGGTGGGGGCGGAGTGGGTATGAAGGCTAAGTCAGTGCTCTCGTCCATTTATTCCTTAATTGGACAAATACTTAAGAGCTTTCTGTGTGCCGGGCAGGCACTGTGCTGTGCCTAAGAGAAGTCCCTGCCCTTCGGACAAAGGGCACAGTACAGATACCTAATTACTATTCGGAGAGGATTCTGGAAGAAATGCAGGGTGCTGTGGGATGAACAGTGAAGAACCTGACTGTCAGGGAAGGGGGGGGTTGTTGCTTGAGCTGAGCTCCGAAGAATGATTAAGAGTGAGCTTGGGGAAGGTGGTGCTGTTGTTTCGAGCAGAGAAATAGTGTGGCCAAGGTCTCCGAGGTGGTATTGGGGGTACTAGATGAAGGCCAATGTGACTAAAGGGCAAGGAGAACGCAGGTGTGGCCCTGAAGTGTGTGTGGGGGGCGAGGGGGCTAACTGTAGGCCTTGTTGGCTGTGGTAAGTTTGGTCCACTGAGGTTGGGCCTGGTTGTGGAGGGCCTGCAGACCATGCTGAGGAGTCTAGATTTTATCCTGTTGGCTCTAACAAGCCTGTAGGGGTTTTAAACGAAACAATATGACTAGCAATGTGTTGTAGAAAGATCCTGTGGCTGTTGTGAGTTAGTCCCAACTGAGTCTTTGGAGGCAAGTTTGAAGAGGACGTAGCTGCTATGACTAAAGAGAAACAGGGAAGCACTGTTATATGGAATTTGTGGCAGGCACTGACATTCAGCACAGAACCTGGCACACAGAGTTCTGACTTAGTTCTGACTTTGCTAAAAGGCTTGAACTGTGCTGAGAAGTTGAGCCCTTGCAGAAGGCAGCAGGATCTGGACCAGACTTGAAGTGCTTTCTGCTGGCGTGACCACTGAATGACCTTAAATAAGTTCCTTCCTCTCTCCAGCCTCCTTTCCAAGTGTGAGTGATAACATCCTTCTTTCCAGCTTCCTTTCCCCTTAAAGTGAGTGGTAATTCCTCTCCCAGAAGTGAAAAACTCTACAAGGGAGGTTTTCAAGAAAGAGCTGCTTTGGTAGTCCAGTTCATCCCCTGTTCAGAGCCTGCTCTTGGCTCCTGAGTTACTTCTCACCTGGTCATTCCCAGCTCTCATGACTTGACCCCCAGTTAATCTTTACACCTTATCATACTCTGCTCCTCTTCATATATCTCTCACCTTCCTGTCCTGGACCTGTGCTATTGTTGCTGCTGTTCTTTCCTTCCTACCCACTCTGAACTCAACACAGGGTCTTGGGGCTAAACTCACCTCGCCACCTGCCTAGTGTGTCTTTCTTACGCAGTGATATTCAGCCTTGGCTAGAGTTTTGTATTCAGGTGCTATCTCTCTTCTAGAATGTGAGTTCCTTGAGAGCATGGCGTGTCTTACTCCTCCGTAGGCCCTACAGTGCTTAGCACGGTGTGGGTAGTGTAGTGTTTGATGAACAAGGGAATGAGCGCGCTCATTGATTGTATCTGCTCACCATGCAAGGGCAGCTATGAAGAATCCTGTCAGGAGTGACTCTATCCATCTGTCACATTTTAACAGTTTATTAAGCACTTTAAAATTACTTATTTCACCATTGATCCTTAAGGTAGCCAAGAGTGACATCTGTTTTTGTCCTCCTTTTACAGGTAGAGAAACCAACATTTGAATAGGTTAAGTGACTTATCTGTAACTACAAAGCCAGTAGGTGGCTGAGCTAAGATAAAAAAATTAGACTCTTTTCCCTGTAGCCTAGTGGACTGAGATTGGCTAGAGCTCGCTGTTCATTTTCCTGTTGTCTGTTTTACCTCTCCCCCTGCAGGCGCCCAACAGCACTAGGCTGGCTGGCACATGCTAGGCTTTTACCTCTCATCTTCCAAGAATGAATGCTGGGCCTGGGTGGTACCTACATTTTGGCTTTCCCATTAGTTTTTTTTTTAACTACCAAAGGGTTTTATTTCATCTCTAGGAGTTTTGCCTCAGGAAACTACAGGCCCAGGAGGGCTCCCAGGGTTGTCCAAGCTCACGCAACAAGTCTGGAACGGAACCTTTCAGGGTCTGGATTTGGAAAAACCATTATTGGGTGAGGACAGCCTCTGGGGCTGGTTTTCTCTCCTTGTGAAATGTCAGAGAAACCTTGGTGTTAGTCATGGCTCTGCAGGGCATGGTTTTGTGGGGCTTGTGTCGTGGCCAGTTGGCCAATGAGTCCCCATTGTCAGGGTTGTTTCACAGGAAGGGAACTCTGGTGTTAAGATGGCCTGATATGAAGGAATCACGCCTCCCACCTCCCCGAGCTGCCCTGTGGCTGCCTTGTCCCTCGAGTGCGGAAGCCAGTTGGAACATCGGGAATGGAAGCCAGTGTGGTAAGGGGCACTCCCAGGGCAGCAGTGTGGTGGGAAAGGCTCAGCACAGGGCTTGCTGACGTTCTTGAGACTCTAGTTAATCCTTCCTTTCCCCTGGAAGCCTGGGACTGGTGGGAGGCCACCCTTTCACCCGCTCTTCTTAGGCAGAACGAGCTATGGTTGGGGGCAGTCAGTGTGTTTCTGCCTTTCTTTGCAGAAGGGAGGGAGGGAAGCCTGGGTGATCCTTAGACCCAGTTAATTTCTCAGTTCTTTATTGGACCCTCCCAACATTGACTGTGCTCTGGCGGCATCAGGTGTCCCCTTAGGTGGCTTGCCAAAGTGAAAGCTAACAACTGGGAAACCCGCCCTCACTTATAGTTGAGACTTGAGTTACCCCTACACGCACACACGGTACATGTCTCTGCGACTGAAGAATTCAGTCTCCCTAGTAGAGGGGAGTGGAAGAGGATGGGGACAGTACTTGGACTCATCTCCGAGGTTGTGGCTGTCCCTCTCTCTGCTCTAGACCATCCCAATTTGGCAAAACAAGCCACATGGAGCTGCTCGCAGTGTAGTGAGAAGAATCGGGACCAACCTGCCCCTGAAGCCGTGTCCCCGGGCTTCCTTTGAGGTGAGTGTACTAGAAGGGCAGGAAGAATAGAAGCTCAGAGAATATGGAAGGCGAATACTGTGCCCCGGTACCTGGCATTTCCAAGGAAGCTTGCTTTCCTGGTCACTTTTTCATTTTGTCAAAAAATACTTATTAAGTGCTTATAATGGATTCTGGTCACTGTGCCTTCCTGATTGCATACAAACCTGTGACCACAACAGTCAGACTTCCAATTTGCTCATAAACTAATAATCTTACATCTTTAACGCTTCTGCTAAGTAACTGATTTCATCAGGCTCTAGCAATCTGGTTTATCAGAGCAAGCCAAAGGCCCTTGCTGAACCACATCTCCTGACTGCCAGGTCTGTGCTGAGGTATTTGCCTACAATCCTAGCAGGTACCCACATGAGACAGTAATATGTGTGACTCTGTGTTAAACTCTGCTGTTCTTTATCAGCCCTAAGACTTGGCCACTGAGTCACCTATTTTTAGTTTCCCTGAGGCCATTATTCCCCACTCGTTTACTGGGCTACTTCAGTCTTTCCTGTGTGTTAGAGGGCCTTTGGCACCCACTCTGCAGCAGAGATTCTTGCCTGGCCCGCGTCTCTGAGACCCCCTTCTGCATTAGAAAGCTAAGTAGCATTTATTAGTCCCAAGTGCCTCCAAGAACTAATGGTTAAGCACCAGCTTCAGGCTACATACTTAAGGTATGTGCATCTGGGGAGTTGAGGCACAAATGAAAAACTTAAGCTTTCCTGTGAGACCCAGGTTCCCTATCTAAAAGTGAGAGCCATCAACTCCTGATCCACCTACCAATTTGTAGCACAGGCATCTGAATCTGACTTATATGTATCAGTGGATTTTTGAAAAATTATCCATATTTCTGTTGTAAATTAATTACCTTAAATATTATTTAAGGGAATCTTGCTGGTTTATTTTGTTTTAAAGTTACCTATATAAATATTAAATTATGGAAAATAAAAAGAAAAACAAATTGCTTATAATCACATAGTCATGACACAGTAACTATTGATTTTTGGTGTTCTTTTCCATCTTTTTCGACATGCATGTTTTTTGCTTTTTGTAATCGTACTCAACACATGATTGAATTTTCCTAATTTTTCATTTAACATGGTGTCACTCAGCCTCTCTATTCCCTGATTACTGATCATTTGGGTTGAGGGGCTATTTTAAAGATTCTAAATTATTTTGTATAATTAATCGTCTCTTTTGTTAAATCTAAATAGTCAGCTTATCAAGTTTGCTTAAAACAATGTTGCTGTTAACAGTGTGCGTCCCAGTTAGCTACAGAGGTGCTGTAAAGAGCTAGCCAGAGGAAACTTCCTGTTGATGTAACAGGTTATTGATGTCTTTGCACTTGTATTCTCACAACCAGAGGGCAGGACACTTAGACAGTAGCCATGTCTGTTAAAAGGTAACTGGCCAGTCCCACTGAAGACCCCTTTGCTCTAGCCAGGGGTCAGCATTCTTTAAAAGGCCAGACAGTAAATATTTTAGGCTGTGGGCTATAACCATCCCTACTCTTGCAATTATAGCTTAATAGCCACCACAGACAATACATAAACAAATAGGTGTGACTGTTTTTCCAGTAAAACAAGTCCCATCCCTCCTCTAGGCCACCTTGTTTGACTTGAAGGTTATAATAGCCTCAGAACTGGTCTGTTCGCCTTCCTATCCATGTTCCACACAGCAGCAGAGTGACCTTTTAAAACCTAAAATCTGATCATTACCTAGTCTTTTAGGGGCTCATTATCAGTCTTAGAATCAAAGCTCCTAATTCACTTTCCAACCTCTTGCAGCCCCTCACCCCATCCTGTTCAAGCCATGCTGAACTATTTGTAACCCCACAAACCTCTTGCTTCTGGCCTCTTATTTAAGCTATTTCCAGGAACCTTCTTCTCCCTCCTTAGAAAGCCCTCCTGACACCCGGTGCTAGATTAGGTGCCCCCCTACGTATTTTGCCCAATCTGATTGTCTCATCATGTCAGTGTTTGTCGATGAATCTTGCTTCCCTGCAGACCCTGCCTAACATCTCTGACCTGTGTCTGAGGGATGCGCCTCCAGTCCCTACTCTGGCTGACATCGCCTGGATCGCTGCAGATGAAGAGGAGACATATGCCCGGGTCAGGTAACTGAAGCAGTAAACAGTCTGCTGGGGAGCTTCTTCCCAGATGTGGTGGCAGGTAGCAGGGAGAGTGCTTGTGAGAGGCTGAGGACAAATAGGAATGAGGTAGGTGGGCTCAGAGTGGAAGCCGAACCTGGTCGTGTTACTTTGTTAGGTGTGAGTGAAGTTTTAGGAGGGGTGCAGTGGCCATCTCTCTGATATACTTTTTTTCTGGTCCAGGAGCGATACGCGCCCTCTGAGGCACACCTGGAAGCCCAGCCCTCTGATTGTCATGCAGCGCAATGCCTCAGTGCCCAACCTGCGTGGGTCCGAGGAGAGGCTCCTGGCCTTGAAGAAGCCAGCCCTGCCAGCCCTAAGCCGTACCACAGAGCTGCAGGATGAGCTGAGCCACCTGCGCAGCCAGATTGCTAAGATAGTAGCAGCTGATGCAGGTAGGAGCCCGAGTCATGGCCAGAATAGAGTAGGCTATTCGTTTTACCTTGACTTTTGGACAGGATAGGGGTAAGGAAAGTGATAGTTCCTGGTTCAGGGGCACTTGGGCCCAAGGCTGTTGTTGCTCTGAGGCCTGGCTAGCCTATAGTACTTGGATGGTTTCTGTCAGCCATTTTGAGCTGATTGGCTTGGTTAGGAACAAAATCTTCATTTAACCTGTGACCCCAAGCAGATTTCCTCCCTTGGCCACAAAACCAACACCCTCTGCCAACTGTCTTTAAGATCATGTCTTACCCCGAAAAACCTGATCCCATCTGATCTCGGAAGCTAAGCAGGGTGGGTCTGGTTCGTACTTGGATGGGAGACCACCTAGAAAGACCAAGTGCTGTAGGCATAAAAAAAAAAAAAAAGGGATTGTAAGCTGACAAGGTCCTTGTAATCTGTGAGGTCAACCAAGGGTTGCCTTGCCTTTAAAAAAAAAAAAAAAGATGTCTTCCATGAGCCCTCAGTGGCTTTCCTTTTCAATATGAGAAATAATCATCCCCTTTAAGCACCTGTCTTCCTTTTCCTGTCTACCAGAGAGCACCTCTCCATCCCTCCAGCTTTCTGTCTGCAGTTAAGGCAGAACCACTGGAAATGGATGGGAGTCTGCCTTCACTAGTGGCATAAAATACCAACAGGTGGATCTCTCCCAAGAAGCTCAGGGTTTATTTATCCTCATATTCCTCCTATCATTTTTTTGCTCCTAGTTGACGCAGAGTCATAGCTCCTAACCCTTATCAGTTGGTGGAACACAAAAATTATGGTATTCTCTGTGAAATCTTTATGTATTTAATTCCCTCATATGGCAGGTTTATAGAGGAATTATACTTGAATTTTCAATTTATATTTATTGCATATCTTTTTTGTCATCTAAGAGATAAGCTAAAGTAGTTTATGAAAAATCAGAGTGTTTTAGAAACTTAAGAAATTGAGGAAATTCCATGAAAATTTGGGAAACTAGTAGGGCCGTCACCATTCTATTTTTGCTGTAGAATGCTTCTTCCGGTCACAGGTAGCGTTCAAAACAGGGTAGTTAGAAGCACTGGCCCAGTTAGAGGAAAGGACAAATTCCAGCCTCAGTTCTGTCATTGTTGCAGTCTAAACAAGGCTGTTACTCCATAGCTCAAAGCAGAATGAGAGCTTTTAGGAGCCAAAGCCTTTGTGGGGTAGGTTTTTCTGCTCTCCTGGAACACTAGAAGAACCCAGTGCTTCTATATTTTCTTGAAATCCTGAGAGGAAAGGGTAGTCTACTGGCTTTACAGATACTGTGCGAGGCTTGCTCATGGTATCATGGTGTCAGCCCAAGAAATGAATGTTTGGTAGGCAGTGCTTATGAGGAGGTATTACTGCTGTATTCTATTCTAGCCCCAATGTCCATCCATGCTTATTGTTTTCTCTTTCAGCTTCGGCTTCATTAACGCCAGATTTCTTATCTCCAGGAAGTTCAAATGTCTCTTCTCCCTTACCTTGTTTTGGATCCTCATTCCACTCTACAACTTCCTTTGTCATTAGTGACATCACCGAGGAGACCGAGGTAGAGGTCCCTGAGCTTCCATCAGTTCCCCTGCTTTGTTCTGCCAGCCCTGAATGTTGCAAACCAGAACACAAAGCTACCTGCAGCTCGTCTGAAGAGGACGACTGTGTCTCTCTGTCCAAGGCGAGCAGCTTTGCAGATATGATGGGGATTCTGAAAGACTTTCACCGCATGAAACAGAGCCAAGATCTGTAAGTATTTGATAAGGAGCTCTGGTGATATTTACTGTTTCAGTCGCCTGTAACTAATGATACAATAGATGGTACCGTACATATAAAGTCCTCAGTAGTAGCCGTGTATTACTTTGTTAACAAAGTTTCCTACCTGTTTGCTAATGCCTGGGGCTCCAGTTTGAGGGAAGAGCAACACTTTACATTTGGTTGGGTTGATTTAATCCAATCAAATGTTAGACTGGTAGGAATTTTACAAGGTTCATCTATCTAATCCCATTTCTGTCCCCTAGGGGGCTTCACCACTTCACTTCTCATAGTGCTAGTAAGTGTTCATGTGCCCCACCCTTCAGAGTTGGGTTGCATAATAATTTAGTATCTCAAACTGGTACTTTTTTGGTGGAAGGAGAGTTTCATAAAGTTGGGAGTTTCTCCTTTAAAATACAGTGGTCCATTATACAAACCAACCCTGCAATTTCAGAGATTTGAGACAAGGCTTTTTAGGCTCATAGGAAGTTCTTAAACCTTGCTGCCCATCTGAATTGCTCAAATTTGTTAAAATTCCACCTTAAACTTTATAAAGCTGAATCCCCAAGGAGTGGAGCTCTAGGTGTTTCCGATGGGAGTGTGAGGGAATTTGGGGAAAACCTACCTTGAGAAACTCATCTAGCAGAGAAGCCCTAGAGCTCCAGCTGGAGGGATGACCCCCCACTTGCAGTGTTCCTCTAAGTGTGGTCTGAGCTCCTGCACGGGACACACCAGAGGAGCTTGTTTGCAGGTTCTTGGGCATTGAAGCATTTGTTTAGTGACATCCATATCCCAAAGGCCAGAGGCCAGGGTATTCAGATTTCTGTTAATAAAGAGTAAAAGCTCTTGTGCGAGGTGAAAGCTCTCTCCTGAGTTGATGAAGTTCTTGTTGAAGGGAAGGTTACTCACTCACCATGTCCAATGGTCCCTTGTGCCCTTGTGGCTCCTGCCCCATTTCCCTTTGAAAGCCAGACAAAGCTAAGTGACTCCTCTGTCACCGCTTCCTGGTAGCCCTTCCTTCAGGGAAGTCACTTTCACCTTCTCTTGTCCTAGCCAGGCTGATCTTGGTCATTCCCACAGTTCTTTGCTGTTTTGTGGCTGCCTTGAGTCTTTTTCTTCTGGTGTTTTATAGCTTGACTCTCAAACTTTCTTTTACTTGCCTCTTGCACCATGTTAGATCCAAGTTCCTCCTCCCGCTTGTGTCCTGGGATCTTTTGTCCCTCGTTAATAGGAGCTGGGAAAGTAGCCCCATCACTAAAGGTTCAGAATGTGACAGATTGAAGGCAATTACTCTTGTTTCTGCTTTCAGGGTTCAATAATCAATCTTGATTATTGATGACTAGTAAAACACTTTCATGAGGATGTATGTATATAAGTTCACTAGGATTTCAAGCAACTATTTTCCAAGTATCTAGGACACTTTATGATGTATCAAGTAATTTGAACCTACCCCAGATTGAAGTTGGTTTTGTTCCCACAGGTCCCTTATGATGTGAATGTTTTAAATTCTAGGTCTCTTATTTAAAAAAATCTCATGGTCCGCCTTATGTGGAGACAGGATAGTAGGAAATCCTCAGCACACCTTTTCCTTGGAACTAATAAAGTTCAGAATAGCCAAGAGTCATTAGTCACTTCCCCTGCTGACCTAGGGAAATGCTACTAAGCATCAGAAGTTGGGAGTAGAAGCTTGGCCATCACAGGCCAACTCTAACTGGTTGATGGCCCTTTACTTTGCCCACATTTTATAGCCATCTCAGGATGGCTATAAAAGTAAAGCATTCTAGTTAAGCAATGAGGTCTGCAACCAGGTAGCTTGATTTTGGACTCTGGAGCCACCATGTAATGGCTGAGTGACTAGTAACTTTGGGCAAACTGTATAACGTTTCTGTGCAGGACTATAGTAGCACCTACCTCACATGATTGTTGTTAGGATTAAATGAGATCGTATTCAAAGACATGGAACACTACCCAGGTCAGAAGTACTCAGTAAATTATTAATTAAGCTATTATCGTATCTCCAGGAATCGGAGTTTATTGAAGGAAGAAGACCCTGCTGTCCTTATCTCTGAGGTCCTAAGAAGGAAGTTTGCTCTGAAGGATGAAGATATCAGTAGAAAAGGAAACTGATAGCACTCAGCTCTACAAACTCAGTCTCGTGCTCCTGAAAGTCTTTCAATAGCTGCCTTCCTCACCGCAGATGTTTCTGCCTTTCAATTAGAAAATTTTTGCAAGTCTTGCCGAAAGCTAGAGCTTGGACTAAAAGAAGAGCTGGATTATATGTTTTCCATACTTCAAACCTTAGCAGAAGATAAGCCTATTGTGAGCTGAGACGCTTGTACCAGGTGAATGTGTAGGTTAGAAAGTTTCAGTCTATAAGGTGACCTAGAAGTTTCTGGGTTTTCCTTGCCCATGTGAAAATAGGTCCTGAATGACTTACTTCACTGCATTAGACCCCATAACTGGTCTCACTGGACTCTTTGTGCCCAGCTATCACTCTCAGCAGAGCTGAGGGGGCTATAAATGTTTATGTACATGTTCACAGGGGAGGAAAAACATTTTATGCTGCTTTACCATGAACTAACACCAATGCCCAGCAATCACCCTCTCCCCTGTCCAACACCTAGATGTAGAGGTGGGGCCTTTGGACCAGCTGACATTTGGGCTCCTGCTGGGAGGCCTGGGCTGTTTTTTTCTTAAATATATTTTGTAATACTGTACAACCAAATCTACCCTCCAAGGCCCTGAAGCCTCATTAGTTCCAATGATTAAAACTTTCTCTTCCTTGGACTTTCATTTAAGCCCAGCAGGAAAGAGAAATGGGGAGGGGAAAGAGAATACCTTCTTTCTTCCAGGCCCTTGGCTGCTCCTTTGCATTGGGCCAAGGTTTGTACCAACCGCACCATGCATGACTCAGATGCCCTCAGGTCCCCTTCTTTATAGTATGTGTCCTGTGTGTGTTTGGATGGAAGCACTACCTGATATTAAAGGAAGGATTCGGAAAGATATTGTATTTGCTGTGTCCATCTCTGAGTTATAATCACCTGGTCTCCTCCATGGGTATAGGATTCCTGTTAATTTTACAGTATATGAACTTTAATTGACAGGCTCCTGTTTTCTCTCTTTCCTTATAAAGTCCTGCCTTTATAAAACTTCCCTAAGGATTTCTCTTCCTGTGGAAATTTTGTCCTAAACTCTTAAAGCAGTCCTATCTTATAACGTGTGGTTTAACGCCTAGGGGTTGTTTAAGCCTCTTAGGTACCACACCTACAACATGATAAACTGCTACCTGATGGATAACATCTTCAGCAGAACAGAGGTCAAATCAGACTCTTGTTCAGATTTGACTCATGGCAATCTGATAATGATATACTAAATAATACTAGCATATAATACTACAAAGTTACTTTTTCAAAAATAAAATTGGTACTGTTCTAATTACCATGAGAGCCAACTTTGTGAACAGTCATTTATTTGGACTGTTTTACAAAGGGTGTTCTCTCACATCTTCTGGTAGAAGAGTGATATAAGATTATATATAGCTCAGGCTCATTTAGGGAGAGATGTTTAAACAGCATTTAACTTTAAAATGCTGTAAAGTTACCACAGAAATAAAACTGTCATCATTCTACCTTCTACCTATCTCTCTGTCCCCTGTACATCTGGGTCAGAGAGATTTGTCTTATCACTCAAAAAAGTGTCAGGAATAATGGTTCCAAGCTTAGGATGAATAAGTATGATTACAGCCAGAGATTAAAAGTATACACATCGATAGGAAGCAATGTCCCAGTCAGGCATTTGAAAGCGCACAGAGATGGCTTCATGCAGGCTGAGAAATGGGCTGTCTGGTGGAGGTATGAGTACATGCCCTGGCTGCCTCAGTGCTCACCACAGACTCATACAGGGAATTTATCAGCCACCTCTTTCTTACGAAAAAGCAAATGCCAATTACACTGTTTCAAGTGTCACCACCTGCTTTATTTACACAGAGAAAATGCTCAATAATAACTGCTTCTTCCCATACCTCTCTCCTACCCAAACATATTACCCCTAACAACCCCTGCCCCAAGATATTTTCCTATGTCTGTCATTTCAAGGTACTTTTAGAACCAAACATTCAAAGACATTTAGACTTGGTGTCTGATAACTTGATTACCTTCAGAGTCCTGGGTAAAGAACAAATCAGGCTGCAGATTTAACTGAATAGGCCTATCCTGGTACTGAGCCCAAGGGCTGTCAGGAAACTGCCCTAAGCCCCGATTCCAGTTGTTGGTTACATCTTGGAAAGGAGCTCTAGGGTTGTGGGCAATGACCTGCTGGCCTTGAGAATCCTCAGTGAAAAGCTGACTCCAAGAGTCCCTGTCATTCTTCTCACTGTCCAAGGAAAACACAGGAACAGCACAAGAACTTTGTTTCACCGCTTCTGTGTTTTCTCCACTCCAGGAATCCCTGTGTGTTTGAAAGGGGGCAGAGGCCTGCCTGTTTTCTTTGGCCAACAACTTTTCCAATTTAGTCTTAGCCGAGGGCTGATGGCCCTTGCCAAGTGGCTTACTGCGTCTCTCCATACCCTGACAATTCTTTTTCTTAGATCCATGAAGCCATTCCCTTTTCCAGGAAGAATCCTCTCTCTCTCTTTGGTCCAACAAGCACGAACTTTCCAAGTCCTGGGTGAAGGAACAAGCCAGTGAGTCTTGGCTCTCTTCAGCACAGACTAAGGTATCAGACTGGGACAAAGACAGCACAGTCAAGAATGGGGTTCCCATTCTGTGGTGTCCAGAAGCCTGGAGGGACTGAGGAGAAAGTCCAGCCTCCTGGATGTCTGCAGGGGTTGAAGTGGCTAAAGGGGGTGCCACGCAATCATCCTCCAAGACTTGGATCAGATGGTCTAGCTGGGTTGCATCTTTCTTAGACTCTCTGTTGGTCTGACTTTCTATATGAGATGAAATACTCCTCTGATCAGCACCATTTGTCTTTCCTAGTAAAACAGACATGAACAAATATTATTGTGCAGGAAAACTCTGCCCTAAGCAGGATTTAGCTGGCTCTTTCTGAAATCAATATCAGCTACTATCACTACCTAGTACAGGGGTCTTAGATTCTTCACATACCTTTGGCTGATATTTTTTTTTTTCTCTTGTGTCTCCTGAATGATCTTTCTAAAACACAGACCTTATATTCCCCTCCTCCGATACATGGATGTTTCCCATGACCTACCTAATAAAGTCAAATACGACATATAATCAGACCACAGCCTACTTTTCCAGCTGAGTTTTCATACGTGGAGTTTAACATAAGGCACATCAGTATTGCTTTTGTCTTTTATTTAATGTGCTTTCTGCTAAATAGTGATCCTCACCGAATACTACTCCTGGATATTATCCTTTGAGAAACATGTTCAACACTATTCTTGTAGGCCTCGAAGATCACATTAACCATCCAACTCTGAGAAACCTTCTGGGGACAGTATGAAGAATGTTAAGTTCCCACACTCCTCAAACATTTCACAGTAAAGAGAGTAAAGACACGATTAGATGCTAAGTCAACCAGTAAGAAAGACAATAATAAACAACTAGTGTCCAGCCTATCCATTTAATCAGGCATGGAATGGACCCTGTTCTGCCTTAAGGACAAATGCCATGGAATCCCCCCACACCCAAGTTACACTAAGATCTAATTACAAAGCTGAATTACTGATTTCTTCTTCTTCTCTAAGAATTATACCGCGAAAACTGTTTTGTGAAAGAGTTCTCAATTTTACCTAAGAATTCAATATAGACTATAGAATAGACCAAAATTTTGAAATATACTATAGAACAGTGGTCCCCATTCTTTTTGGCACCAAGGATTGTTTTCATGGAAGACAATTTTTCCACGGACCGAGGAGAAGGATGGTTTTGTGATGGTTCAAGCACATTATGTTTATTGATGCACTTTCATTTCTATTATTATTATACTGTAATATATAATGAAATAATTATACAACTCATCATAACACAGAATCAGTGGGAGCCCTGAGCTTGTTTTCCTGCAACTAGATAGTCCCAATCTGGGGGTGATGGGAGACAGTGACAACCAAAGTTGTTATGTCCAGTCTACTCCATAATCTCGTTTTGGTTGCTGTCACTGCAGAAAACCCCGCTTCACAAAGATAGGATGCTGGAAATAGAAGCAGACTTTTCAGTGCTTTTGTGGTCATCTCAGGATAATTGCCTTGACTTTAATCCAGGACATATGGAGATCTGAAGTTGTTTCAAACATACTTTTAAGGCCACCGTCATTTTGCAGTCTCAAGCAGTTGATCCTCTTCTAGCACGGACAAAGTCGATTCACCTGGCTTATTCACAAATAGGTCATGGGTCCATTCCTTCCTTCCCAGTTTGGGGGTCTTTTATGGTTGGGAAGTCATGCTCAAACTTTTTCAAAAGCTGAGACAGATGATCGATCATGTACCAGCTGGGAGAAAAAAGGCCCTGGCTCAGTCTCTTTCAAAATCTCTACTAATGTTTGAAACATGTCAAAAATCCCAATGTTCACTTGTCACCCCCATAACTCGTTTGGCTTTGAATGTAGCCACTTTATCTGCCAACTTAAACACAGTTGTTGTTCTCCCCTGAAGTGACAGACTGAATCGGTTAAGCAGGCTGAATATGTCACAGAAGTAAGCAAGTTTTGTGACCCATTCTGTGTCACTGACATGTGCTACAAGTGGTGACCATTTTTCTAAAATCTCTGGAGCACTTCTTGTAACAAAAACTCTGGCCAGTGATCTACCTTTAGAAAGCCATCTCACTTCTGTGTATGAGAAGATGTGTGTCCATCTCCTCACAGAGCTGTGTGAACAGACGTGAGTTAAAGGCGTGTACTTTAATGTGGCAATTTTAATAATATCCTGCAAAACGTTAAGTTGACAGTTTTTGGCTAGCCAGCAATTTCTCTGGGTGACACAGTGCGTAGACTCACATTTCGGCTAGCCAGCATTTCTCTGGGTGACACAGTGCGTAGACTCACATTAAGAGTGACAGTTTTCGGCTAGCCAGCATTTCTCTGGATGACACAGTGCGTAGACTCACATTCAGAGGCAACTTCTTTGACCCGAGTAGTGAAACCAGAAAGTCATCCAGTCATGGCAGCCGCTCCGTCCGTGTATATATCAACACAAAATGACCAATTCAGTTTTCCTGATATGTAATCAAAGACTTGAATAGTTCTGCAGCTGTGGTGTTGGTTGGCAACAAAAGTGCACATAACATGTCCACATGCACATCTTCCTGAAAAACAGATCGCACAGTCTACAGCCATGCCACCCTGAACGTGCCCGATCTCATCTGATCTCGGAAGCTAAGCAAGGTTGGGCCTGGATAGTATTTGGACAGAAGACCACTTAGGAATACCAGGTGCTGTAGGCATTAAAAAATAAAAATAAAAATAAACAGATCACAAAGAAACAAGTACTGTTGTTGCCTTATTGTCAACATCAGCAGACTCGTAAACCTGGACTGTGTACAACGGTGACTCATAATTCTTAACAACTGTGTCTCAATATCCTCTATTTCAACAATTCGTCTAGTTATGGTGCTAGTCGAAAGAGGAACACTTGCTACCTTTTGAACTGCAGCCTCTCCTAAAAGTTCACAATAAATGTCCTTAGCAGCAGGCAGGACCAACCCTTCACCAACAGCAAAGGGCTTCTTAGCTTTAGCAATGCAGTCAGCCACTGATGCTCTTAGTGCAAACATGTTTGATGAAGTGGTGGCCTTCAAAAATTGCTTCTGTTCTTTGTGTTCATGGTTTTTTTTTCTTTTCAAAAACTCCAAAAGCATGTCTTTCAATGCAGGGTGCTTGGTCTCCATGTGACGAAGCAGTTCTGAAGGTTTCATGGATTCGTTGGATGGCCAGTCCCCACATATCATGTGGGCTTGGAGAATGTGACTCACCTGTTGCAATGAATCCGTAATTTAAGTAGGACTCTTGGTATTTTATTTTAAATGCAGCTTTCTTTTTGTTGGCAGTCTTAGAGCCCGCTGCTGTCTCATCTTTGGGTCTTTCCCCTTTTCAAAGAAGTTCTCCAGTGACATTTGTGTTTTACTCATTTTGGCCAGGGTTAGCTTGTGGGTTCACCAAAACTGTGACTGACACAGGTGTGCAATGTGGGAAGAGGTGTAGGCGGAAGTGGTTAATAAAATAATGGGTGGGCCACATGCGGGCTAAAATAAGTGTCGGATTCTGACTTAAAGCCTGCCACCAGATACAGCTGTACATCAACTTACTTGCCACTCACTGATAGGGTTTTGATATGTCTGCAAACAATTGATTTATTACGGTCTCTGTGAAGTCAAACCTCCACTAATGTTAATCTGTATTTGCAGCCACTCCCCAGCGCTAAAATCACGGCCTCAGCTCCACCTCAGATCATTTAAATTCTCATAAGGAGTGCACAACCTAGATTGCTCACTCGCCCGACACTCACTTCCTGCTATGCATCCCAGTTCCTAACAGGCCAGAGACCAGTACTGGTGTGTGGCCCAGGGTTTGGGGACCCGCTACAGAATATACTAGAATTTTGAAATTTAAAATGGAAAATGTTTTTGAGGAAAAAACCTGCCCTTGTGAGTTAAAGTAAAATGATGTTTAAGTTTTTTTGGAGGGTAGGGAGAATGTATTTTGAAGGTTTTTGCAAAACGATCTTGGGAAGTGCACCAAGAGTGAAGAACTCTCCTCCAATGCCCTCCAATTGTCAGGAACCCTGCTCTGTAAGCGCCAGCCTGCTCTGAGGCAGCTGGTCCCCTTAAGTGGGACATGATGAGACACGAACCAACTTTATGCCATCCTTTCTAAGAAAAAAGCATCGTTGACCCTTGACTGATTTGAGAAACTTCATACAGAAATATCAATTATCAATTAATCTTATACAGACCACTCATTGTAACCAATCCAAGACTTATACCTAATTAATGGCAGGTCAGCCCCCCTATGTATCCCCAACTCCCAAGTATACCTTTCCTTGCTGCTCCAGCAGGGAATACAAATATTTAATATTAAACTGAGCAAAACAGAACCAGAAAGGTATGTCTGTAAAAGCATGTATATATTGCTCTTCAAAAGGTGATTATGTTTTATAACCTCTTCTGATAGGTGAGCTTAATTTAAACAATGCCCTGGTGTCCCCACTTATAAATGTTCCAGCATGAATAAATGCACTCCTTTTTACTCCCTGAGTGCTCCCACACAGGTCACCATACCTGGCTGCAAGGTGAAGAAGGAAGTAATACTGGTCTGCCGAACGCTTGCAGGTAGATTTCTTCTTTGAGTACAAGAGAACTTAGCCTTTCTCTCTCCAGGAAAGGGTGTTAGAATTTTGGTGCCTGACATCATTAAACGTGTCTGAAAATAAGGAGAAAAAGAGTAAGAGACCCTATTAATATCAAAACAGCTGCCAGACAAGTTGGAAGTAGGCCTGAATCCTGAATTCAAATTCAGTAAACAACAGTGACCCTCTGGGAACCACACAGGACCCCTTGGACTCCACTCAGACCTTTTTTTCTAGGTAGTTTTTAATATGCATTATCTTCTACCATTTCCTGCCATACTGATGGTATGCTTCTCTCAGGAATCATGTATTCCAACTATAGCCCAGTCTTTTTGCTTCCCCACGGAAATCAGTAAGGCTGACAAAACAAACAGGATTTGTTGAAGGGATTCTGGAGATGATGCTCTCTCCTTTAAAAATAATTAATGATTGAACATCAGCAGTAGTTGATGCATTTCAATAGTTTTCAAATAATCCCATAGTGGTTAAGAGCATGGTTCCTGAGTCATACAGCTTGGGTTCAAATCAATCCCAACTCTGCCACTGCCAGTTATTAACTGTGTGACCCTCTGCAAGTTGCTCAATCTGTGTCTCATTCTTATGTGAGAAATGGGACAATAACAGTACCTATCCCATAGGGCAGTTATGAGGATTAGGTGAATTAATTCACATAAAAGTCTTACACAGTTCCTGGCACATAGATAGCATTCAATAATAGCTGGCTATTATTAGGAGGAAGAGCAATGAAATAGCATTAGTCTTATTATTTCGTCTCGGGCCCCTCTATACTTTAGAGTATGAATTGGAAGAAAGGCCACAGAGGTTTTGAAAATATCAACTTTCATAACCTCATCCTTATTTAGTGTGATTTATTTTTGTTTCTCTTTGCTTGTTACAGAATGCCTGAGAATCAGAGAGACTAAAGTTATATTCAATTCAATTTGCCTGTGAAAGCCAAAGAAGAAATGGGATTTGTCAATATTCAAGCAGCAAGTTGGAAGTAGGCCTGAAACCTGAACCCAAATTATTCTAGCCGATAGTTGACTTCATTTTTACTTTTGGAAACTAAGATGTACTTAAATGGTTAAAAGAAGAAAGACATCCTAGATGTAAAGTTCATACTTTGACTTTTAGTACTAGTACAGAAGCTTCTCTTCCACCATACAAAAACTAGAAAACTAGATAAGATACATGAAATAACTGATTTTTGACAGTGGGTAAGAGACAGTACAAGACTGTCATCCCTGAAAAGGATTTTTGAGAAGGAAACAAATGGATGAACCCTAGGACCACCTTAGCTTTCTGCTTGGAAGCACCTGTCAGACTGCAATGTATGGAGTACCCAGGCAGAGCACCACAAGTTGCTACTAAATTTAGGGAAGCTGAGGCGGCTGGTATTTGCAGCACAGGAAACTACATCCAGAAATTTACATAGAGATACCTTCAGTCTATTACTGAATACTAACCTACGCATGTGTTAGGTGACACCCCATGGGGCCAGACAGAGAAATGCCAAGAACTGCAAGCTCAACACCTAGAGCTCACACAGGGCTGGGATAGTTCTAATCAGAATAGAAGGACCTCTTAAATACCAGGGGCACTCAATAGATTTCTCAGGAGGAACACCCTTACCCTTAGAGCTAAACTAACTTTAGAGAAAGGCTATTCAAACCTGTCTTAACAAAGCTTAAATGCAAGCATTTAAAGTAGCAAGCTGATTAGCAAAGTAACTACCTACCCTAAACAAATTTCAGTATTCTTTAAAGACAACAAAATCCAGATATTCAACAATGTAGCACTCAAGATGCTAGCATGCAATAAAAAATTACTAGATATGTGAAGAAGCAGGAAAACATCCATAACTGGGGGTAAGGATGGAATGAATTAACAGAAACAGATCCAGAAATGTCAGGAATAACAGAATTAGAAGACAAAACCTTAAAACAGTTACTATAAATATGCTCGATAATTTAAAAAATATATGAAAATGAGAAATAGAAGACATAAAAAATTCACTAAATGAGTTAACAGCAGATTAAAGACTACAGAAGAAAATAACTGAACCTGAAGACACAGCAATGTTAACTATTCAAAATGAAGCAAAGAGAAAAACAAACTGAAAAAGAATAAACTGAGTTTTAATGACCTGTGGGGTATCAAGCACACATATAATTAGAGTTCCATAAAACGACGTAGAAGAGTAAAGAAAATATATTTGAAGAAATTATGGCTAAAATTCTTCCAAATTTGAAGAAAACAACAACTATAATAGTCTTTGTCAAAATGGCCAATACAACATCTCCCATTTCACATGCTCTTCTTATAATATGACCATGCCATTCCTCCCATCAAGTGGCAAGATCCATATTCCCTCACCTTGAACCTGGGAAGAACTTTGTCACTGCCTGACCAATAAAGTAGGATAGAAGTAACACTACATGATTTCTAAAACTAGGTCATAAAAATGCCTTACTCTCTTAAGATGCTCATTCTTGGAATCTACCCACCATGCTATGAGAAAGCCCAAGCAGGCACATGACTCCTTAAATTTTATGAAAGACTCATCATAGATATGTGAAATTGTGTGAGTTAGTATGCCAACAAGTATTTGAGCACCTATATGCTAAGTACAGAGAAAATAGTGATGAACAAAACAGAGTGATTCTGCCCTGGTAAAGCTTACAGCTTAAGGGAAAAATCAGGCAAATTAATAATAAATAGTTATTTAAATCACTACAAGTATGCTAAGTCCCATAAAGAAGACTTACAGAAAACTACAGATTATCAGATAGCAGGAGGACCTCAATTAGCAAAACATCTGGGAATAAGGCTTTTTACCAGGTTGTACATATTTAGTAGGAGCAGAATGTTTCCTTCTTTAGGTCAGAATGATGTCACGAGTGATCTCGCCCCAGTTATAGATCTTTCAGAAGACCACTGGCTTCAAGAATCTACATTTATCTCAGTGGAATGTTAAGGCTCTGAGTAAGAACAGGTCATCTGGAACTGAGAGGGGCCCAGGGACAAAGTCTTTCAGCAGATTATCCCTACTTCAAAATAAAGGCAACCCCAGTGTATATATTACACAGGGTAAGAAAGCCTGTCTGACAGGCATAGGGTTCCTACAGGATCAAACACCTAGGTGAGCCATAGCATAGATAGGAACAATTCTCACTCTATAAGAATGCCCTAAAGAACTTAACTTGAAGGAACGCGTTCCTTCCAAACCAAATAATCTCCAGTCCTTTAGTATATCACATTCACGGTCCCATCAAGTTTTCTTCTTTCAGAGTGGTGGAAGGAAAATCTGACTTCCTCTAACTATGGAGCTCCTGCTGTTCGTGTTATCCCAAGGATCCCCTGTGACGTATTCCTACAGAGTGATGTTTTTTGTTTGTTTTGTTTTTGGCTGGAAATCATCACGAAAGTGTGACCCTTACTTATATTCCACAACTATCAAAGCAGATCTGGGGTCATATACTTCACCTCTCTGTCCATTAGGAAATGTTTTCATTCTTTCACATTTAAATTCAGTTTAGCTCTCATGCTTAATTTCATCTGATAATTTATCTATAAGTTTGTGTTAAAATTCTGCTTCCAAACCAATGTAATTCTTTTTTAATGATTTATATGGCCTTCAGAACAAGTCTAGTACACAACTTCCTTTATTCATAATGGTCGCTCTGGTATTAAATTTATGAAGTCTTAAATTTATAGTATGAAGTCTTACTTTCTACATCAATTGACACAGCTCTGAAATACACAAATGTATTTCATTGTTTCTGCCATGCTACCTTCTCCTTTATGCTACCCAGGGCTCATATTCATCTCTTCCCACTTCTAAGGGTCAGAAAGCACCATCACCATGTCGTCCCTTACTTCTTAGTCTCTCATAGCATGAATTTGATGACATTTTAGACAAAAACCTTTCCTGATCAGTCACTATCATTCATGCCTCACCAAGTCAGCCTGGAAGGATGATGCCACCTTACAAGAATGTCCTAAGTAAAACTGTTTAAGGAGTCTGACCTAGAAAAGCTTCCAAGATTCTTATCATTTCCAATATCAAACAGCTCTGTTGAATTAATAACAAGGTATTAATTCAAAATTTACTTTAAACTCTCCAAACCTGAAAAACAAACAACACACTGCCCTAGTTTAAGATTTCATAAACTCTTGCCTAGTCCTAGTCTTGCCTTAACTGGTCAGGCCCCCATTCGCTATCTGTTTCTATCAGTCCCACACCCAACATCTAGATTAATCTTCTTAAAGAACTGTGATCATATTGTTCTGCCAATAGTTTCTCTGTTACCTATAGCATAAAAGGTAAACTCAGACCGTACACACTGATATGATTCCAGTTTGCGTTTTTCTCCATTACGAAAAACCCTTCATGCACCCTGTAACATAATACTCAGCTAGATGCCAGTCCCTATTACGGCCTTCAACTTCTTCATTTCTGTGCCTCACATAGAAGGGCCTTTTTCATACCCAGCTCTGAATTGCTATGTATTCTTCAGCTTAGCTTCAAGATTTCCTGATTCCCACAGCAAGATGTGATTGCCTCATCTTCTGAACTTGGCATTTATCACTTGGTACTTCAAGGCTTATCCTACAAAATCCTAGGATCAATATCTGATTCACTTATTTTTCTTTCCATCCTCCACACAACTAGCTTAATACACATAGTAGGTACTTAATTCAATAAATATTTTAAAAAGAAGGTGGATATACAGGTAGGATATATTCCTGTTTCTGTTTTGTATATACCTATTCATTACATTTTTAATATTGACAAAGCTGTCAGAAAACACTAAGGCTTTTCTAATACTGTGACCAAGGTGAGCTCCTGTCACTGTAACTAGTGTCACACATAAGTTCCGAAACAGACAGGATGAGAGAGTACATCCATTGAAACTGTGAAGGTTTTTCCTCTCAAAGTAATCTAACAAACTAACAAAGTAATCTAGAAAATTACTCCAAGAATCTTCTCTAGAACCACCTGATACTGGTTTTTCATATAAACCTAATGAAAACTCAGTAAGAAAAAAGCACTTTCTTCTAAGTATCACAA